AATTGAAAGTAAAGTTTTTGCCCCTTGTTCAGTTTCTTTAAAAGACAAGGAGAGTTTTCTCTATAACCAAACAAATATACACACCAATGAAACCAAACTTCTCCTATAGGTAGGGTAATGCCCACTTTTAGTGTAGGTCAAGATTTCTGGAAACCTCCGAGATCTGAGTTAGCCTGCTTGTCCTTAAAAGTGAACAATTACCTCTTCGCAGTTACAGAGCCAGCAGTACAAAAGACTCCATCTAGTGCACCAGGTGATTGGAACAGATCATTTTCACCGGCGCCGGCGCATTACTGCGCTAAGTGACCGCAAAGTGTTGAAGCTTGTTGATTTTGTCTTGATTTTGAGGGAAAAAAAGCAACTCATCTACCGTGAATAAAAGTTGAGATAATTTGCAGTTGAAGGAAGGAGGTGTTGGTTGATCTAGACTAAGATACAGGGAAAAAGTAGCAGAGTTTTGCTGTAAGGTTTGTCATGTGTTATCAATCACCAGCAGGATTCTGTGAGGGAAAGCTATTGTTTTTAATATTTCACTCCTTCATCGACATAATTTAGGTCATTTAGGAGGCGAGCATTATCAGCCCTGTAGGCTGTGTGCAGGGTTCTACTCAGTTTGCTTTGGACACATCACAGCAGAATGGCATGAAAGATGTTGAGCCAAAAAACAAAAATTTGATAAAAATTCCAGGCCTGCGGAAAAAATGCCAGTTTCTTCACTTTCATTATTTTGACAAGCGCCTGATTTCACCACGCTGCCTCACGTATACTGTATTTCTAAAATTGACAACAGAAATGACCTGACATTATTTTTAAAAAATTTTTTAAACTGTACCATCTCAGATCTTCAAAGGAGAATTCAGTCTGCATCGACCTGGCAAACAAAAAGATCACAAGTTCCATGGATGGGAACACCACCTCGGACCCGATCTCTGACATTTTTGGAACCAGCACCTACGGAGGAGTGATCCTTACGGCGTTGCTTCGAGGGCAGGAGTCGCTGTTTTTGGACATCTACATGGGGCCCAAGCTGTTGGCTTCTGTACCTGTCCCGTTTAACAAGTATGTTGTTGCTTACCCTTATTTGTTTGTTGTTGGGGGTTGTTTGTTTGGGGTGGCTTGTTTGTTTGTTTGGTTTTTTTGGTTTTGTTTTGTTTTTGTTTTGTTTTTGGGGGAAGGGTTGTGGTTTGCTTGTTTTCGCTTACCCTTATTTGTTTGTTTTGGGGATTTTAGGGAGATTTTATTTAGAGGGGGGGGGGTGTCGGTGAGTTTGTGCGCTTGTTTATTTGAGAGAGAAATGCATTTTAAATTCGAAGTGGCTAGCCGTACTTAAGTACGGCTAGACTGCCAGTCTAGCCGTACTTAGATCTAGGTTTGACCCAATCGACTCAAGCCTGTTAAGTACACAGGTTTCATTAGATCTAGATCTAGTAATTATTCAGGTTCAAATACATGCAAGTCAGTAAGGCACCTTTTGGTTTTGTCTGAAATACAAATACTTTAGGCATTGCAAACAGTCTAGCCGTACTTATCTTAGGCCCTATTAACATTAGAAAACAGGAGGTTTAAAATACATACACTGTCATTAACTCATTCGCTACGCCGAGCCGTGGGGGGCGGCGCGGCTAGAGTGCCGTCAGTACGCTTAGCCGCCCCCGGCGGCTCGAGAACCGACGTTCAATTTTAGCTTGGTTTCTATTCCAATCCACATATCCATGTTAAAATAAAGGTCATAATATAAAGTTAACTTCCGGGTCAAGCGTTTCCACTGAAACTCGGAAGTTTTGATTCAGTTTTGAAACACGATTTCGAAGTTTATGCGACATTGTTTTATCGCGAAGCCCAAATTATAGCCAGACACCAGTCTTTGTACTTTTACACAACAAAATGTATAATTATTTTGCTCACTAAAGAAGTGTAGGACTCTTCTTATAATATTGATACTACTGGACTCAAATTGCCAGTGCACTGTAATTGAGGAATCAATATTTTTGAGTGCTAGATCTAGGCCTAGATCTAAATAGTCAAAATATTTTGTTTCTCCCCAAAATCACTACTTTTTGGTGAATTTACTCAAAAAGTACCATCCAAGACATGTATAGGTTTATTCCAAATGCAATTCTGAATAATTCGATATAAGATACGAGTGTTTTTTTCTATTTGGGATCCTTTTTTCAAAATTATTTTTAAAAAAAATTTTTTTCAATATCGGAGGTTATGATCCAAATGTACAAATATTATGGAATGTATGTAAATAACTGCTCATTTTTCAATATTTTCCTGTTCTATATACAGTTATGGTTATTTTGATGTACAATTTGACTAGGTGCAAACATATTTTTTGAGTTTCATTTGAGATTATAAGTTTTTTGTTTTCAAATTTTATCCGCAGCCAATCAAAATTGTGTTGCATAATCGCCTCTTACAGGAACCAAAGTTGAAAAATACTCAAATAAACAATACAGATGTATTCTACAAACCATACTGAAAATGTTGGTATATAATATGTTGATATTTATTTGAATTTATGGCCCCCAAGACCTGTGAACTGCGCACTAGTCATCATCTCATTTCGCCCTCCCGAAAAAAATTCGTCCACAAGCCGAAAATAATACGTAGCGAATGAGTTAAAGCACCTGGTTTCGTCTCAAATACAAATGCTTTAGGTACTGCACACTAAAAATGTATATTTACAATTCAGTAAGCCTATTTTTTTTAAATGGTCAGTCTAGCCATCATATTAAGAATAAGTACGGCTAGCCTCTTCCTTTTAAATTTATGGATGTTTATATGGGGGCTCTCAGGTGTTGGTGTTTATGCCAGTCCCGTTTATTTACAATGTTTGCTGTTTATTGCTCTTTTCTATTCTTTTTTTCTCATTTATTATTTTATTTGTTTGAGAGAAGGTATCTGAATATGTTTTGTGCGTTGCTATATAATGATGTTATTTATACTTATATTTTGTATTTCGCAAGTTGCTGTCAGTTTCTTGTAATGGGTAATGTTTAATATTTATCTTATTACCTTATCTTCACAGGTACCATCTGGCTATTGACGCTAAAGATTTGAGCGCTGAGAATAATGCTGCTACTCTCACAGTGCATGGGAACACGTTTAAGGTTTGTGTGTGCTGTGCTGTGTGTGCGTGTGTGTGTGTGTGTGTGTGTGTGTGTGTGTGTGTGTTTTATCGAAACACATTCATGCATGGATTTTACTGAAAAACATTGATCAAAGGCACAAAAAATGAAAACGTGTAGTTGCCAAGGACTCTCACAGCTTTGAAAGTCACCAAACTTTGGCGGCCATTTTCACTACTTTTACTTCTGACACCAAGCAGCCCCCACCTTCTTCAATCGTACATATCTTGACTTTTATTCAAAATAAATTGGGGTTGTTTTTTTTCTGAAAAGCAAGACAAATGAACAGGCTTTAAGATGATATCAACAACTCCATTATCCCAAAAACTGATGAGCGCCTGATTCCATTGCGTCGTGACTTATGTTATTACCACAGAGTAAAAATGACAAAATACAACATTGGCACAATATCTGCGCATACATTTACTGCAACACACCGGACATTCACATACTGTTTTCCTTGAAAGTAGCAAATTTTGAAGTTGCACAGTTTGGGACTGTTACAGTCGTCGATTCAATTGAACCTTTTCTTAAAAGTCACTCAAGATCACAATGAGAAGTGACCGTTATGGATAGATGGCTTTTCGAACTTACACAGTTTGGGAAATATTAAGAAGAACCAGAGAGAGCCCAGTCAGTGATGAGGTAGGAAGAAGGCGGTGGCGATGGATTGGACATACTCGCAGGAAGTCAAGCAGCTGTATAACAAAGAAAGTGTTTGACTGGAACCCACAGGGTAAGAGATCAAGGGGAAGACTGCTTGGAACCTGGAAAAGAGTACGGAAATTGATGTACAAAAAAGTGGGAAGACATGGAATAACATCAAGAGGCTAGCCCAGGATAGAGAAAGGTGCAAAGTGTTTGTCCGTGGCCTATACCCTGACCTAGGGTGAGAAAGGCAATGATGATGATGACATTTGGGACTGTTACAGTAGTCGATACAGTTGAACCTACCCATCAAGGTCACTCAAGATCGCAACGAGAAGTGACCGTCATGAATAGATGCCTTTTCTAACTTCCACAGTTTGAGACTGTTACAGTGGTCAGTACGGTTGAACCTGTCTATCAAGGTCATTCTATCTCCCGGGGTGGTGCTACTGACTGAAGTGTCTTTAGGCCATTCCCAAAAGGGGGGACATTAACATCTTGAGTTCTTATGCACAGTAGAATTGTTATTGTAAATGGGCTGATTCATCAATGTCATGCTCATAACTGTGCCTGAACTGCAGCAGGGAACTGCTGCTTTTTCTCTCTTAATCCTTACTATCGTCATTTTACCTCTACTTCTTTTGTATGTTTGTCACACTCTTGTGACCCGCTATTTTTGGGGTGCATTGATAGTCACAGCAGACTTTGTGCTGTTGAGGCTGAAGAGGTGAACAGAGTAAGTCTGATTCCCTGTAAGGACTTCTCTGTTGACATCCACACCTTGTCGCTTAAATGACATAATGCAGTTGCGAGCGCCGTAAAACCTTACTAAAATAAAAAACAAAGACCACTCAAGATCACCGAAAAGGGTCCATTATGGACAGGGTATAACATAATATGATCACTGACTAGACTTGACAAAGTCAACAGATTTGAAATCTGAAATGTTAGATTTATGTGAGGCGTTCTTACAAAAATAAGTTAATTCTCAGATTTTAGCCCCATGGGCACAGATGTATACGTCAAATTTGTAGGTTTGATTTACACAGTTTTATTACATGAAAGGATAAAAGACACATTAAACTGTTCAGTTTAAAATTTGCCAATTTGATGGGTTTATTTTTGCCTGACAACTCCATTGGTGTACTCTGAAAACAATCTATCACATATACTCCCTTGCCATTTCTTTAAAAATTGATATTTGCTTCTTTGCTTTGATGGAGGGTACACACTCAGTCAAAGGATGGGTTGTGGGTGGTTGGCAGGTGCTTTGGTGTGGTTTGCTTCTTCTTTCCTATCAAACATTTATCGTCCTTATCTTCCCTCCCTTTTTGTATGTTTGTTACTCTCTTGTAACACCTCTAATCTTCTGGCGCTCATAAGACCTTATGCAGTTGCAAGCGCCGTAGAACTCTTACTAAAACTAAAAGTCAAAGGATGGGTTGTGGATTACTTTCGTTGCAAGTGACCTGAAAACTTTATACTATATGTGAGGCAGGGTGGTGGAATCAGGCTCTCATCAATTTTTGGGCATGCAGAGTTATTTGCATCATCTTAAAGCTTGTTCATTTGTCTTTATTTGGGTGAAAAAAAATATCCATTTATCTTGTGAATACAAGTCAAGATATTTGAGAATGAAGGGGGTGGGGGTCACCTGTTTTAAGAGGTAAAATTAGTGAGAAAATGGCCGCCAAAGATTAGTTATTTCCTATGCTTAAGAGTCCGTGGCAGCTGAAAATTTACATTTTTTGTGCCTTTAATCAACGTTTTCAGAAAAAGCCATACAGAAATGAGTTCTTTAATAGGCATGAAAGGTGTTGAGTCCAAAAACAAAAATTTGAAAAAAATTCACAAACCTGTTGAACAAGGCAAGTTTCTTCACTTTGATTATTTTGATGAGAGCCTGATTTCACCACGCTGCCTCACATATATATATATATGACCTGATTGTGTTGCAAGTGTGATGAAACTTTTATGTGACCTAATTGTGTTCAAGTGCCATAAAACTTTATGTGACCAAATTGTGTTGCAAGTGCCATAAAACTCTAACCCAATTGGTCCTCCCCAGGGATCTGACCCGGTGCTTGCTACAGGCATGAGGCTTGAGGCCCTGGATAGACTCACTCCCAACCTTGTCTGTGTGGCCACCATTTGTGAGTTGTGGACTTTGTATTAGAGCTGTGCCCATTTGATGGTACTATTCCACATTCAGGATTTTTACACTATTCACAGCTATTCCAAGCGTGGCAGAGCCATTTGAATGCCGTGCGATTTTTTTTTCTAACAGATAAAGGATTTTCGTCTCATTTTTCTCAAACATAGAAAAATTGGAGCACATTATATCTAAAATCATTAAGATAAATACAGAACTACTCTTTATTTGATGGTTACGAGACAGTGATAAGAGGAGCCTACAAGAGTTCTAAAACAATCCTTTAGAGAGTATCTCTTACTATTCAATATCCACTCGTCACACTATGGACAGCTCAAGCAAGGGCACATGACTCTTGAAGCGCAGTGAATGTTTTTTCCATGAAGTTAGCTGTCGCAATGAGCTCCCCTAACCCTAGGCTACTCGAAATTCGAAGCGCTATGAACGGTGACGTGATGTCAACACGTTGCACTGTCTGCGACAACAACACACACGCGCTCAGTGACTGGCGGACTATCACAATATAAGAAAAGACCATTCGATGGTGCTTCGAATTGCAGAAGATAGATCTGGGCTTATCTTATATAAGAAAGAACAATTTGACGGTGCTTCGGATTGCGGAAGTTAGATATCTGGGCTTATCTTATATAAGAAAGAACAATTCGACGGTGCTTCGAATTGCGGAAGTTAGATATCTGGGCTTATCTTATATAAGAAAGAACTCTTCGTCGGTGCTGTGAATAGCGGAAGTTAGATCTGGGCTTATCACCTATAAGAAAATACGATTCGACGGCACTTCGAATTGCGGAAGTTAGGTCTGGACTTATCTCATATAAGAAAAAACCATTCGACGGCGCTGTAAATAGCTAGCGAATGTAGAATAGAGGACCTTAAGTCTGGGTTTATGCTTAATATATATAAGAAAAAAACATTCGACGGAGGTATTCGAAAATCATGAATAGTGAGCTCACGCTTCGAAGCTTCGATGGTTTTTTGTTTCCTCAAAATCGCACAGCTCTACTTTGTACCCTATGTTGTTGTTGTTGCTGTTGTTGTTGGTGGTGATTTTCTCTGTGTCACAAATGCTTCAATGATAAGGTACTGTCTTGCTGTTGTTGTTTTTGATGTTGTTGTTGATGTTGTTGTTGTTGTTGTTGTTATTGTCTATGTCACAAATGCTTCAATGATAAGGTACTGTCTTGCTGTTGTTGTTTTTGATGTTGTTGTTGATGTTGTTGTTGTTGTTGTTGTTATTGTCTATGTCACAAATGCTTCAATGATAAGGTACTGTCTTGCTGTTGTTGTTTTTGATGTTGTTGTTGATGTTGTTGTTGTTGTTATTGTCTATGTCACAAATGTTTCAATGATAAGGTACTGTCTTTTTGCTGTTGTTAGTAGCAGTAGAGAGGCTGCAGAAAGAGTCAGGCGGGGGAAGGGGGGTGAGCGCAGAAAGTGGAGACGAAAGCAGACGACAGAACATTGCTAAAGAGTAGGAAAGGAGGTTCAAGGTGACAAGTTTAGAGAAGAAAATTTTCTGTCACTGTCAGGTTTTGAACCTAAGACCTATTGAATGAGAGGCAAACACTCTAACCTCTAGACCACGATTGCCCCCTGATTATGTTTACTAACGTTCAGTCTGATTTCATTTAATAAATGATGTGATGTGTCTCACTAATGTACTTTTTAATCATGTGAAGAATGCTGGTAAATTTTTTGGCAGTTTGTGGGTGGTTGGCGGGTGCTCTGGTGTGGTTTGCTTCTTCTTTACCATCAAACATATTACTCTCTTGTAATTCCTCTCTTTGACACTTTTATGTCATTGTGTTGCTAGTGCAGTAAAACTCTTACTAAAACAATTTTTTTGCAGTTTGTCTGCGACAAGATTTTCTCATTTCTTCATATTGAAAAAAAATTGTTCATAAAGGGTTTTATGATGCATAATTTCATTGTTAATTTTTCTTTCTTTTTTTTTAATTATAAAAAGATACACACAGCAACAAAAAAATAGCTAGGTTTCACTTTAAAACTTCAAATTTTTTGTATCAATTATCAGTGGAAATTGATGAGGCAGCGGACCAGATCTTGATCCACTTTGATGGCTGGACAGACAGGTATGACTACTGGACCAACTTTGAAAGTGCTGACTTGCATCCCCTGGGCTACATGTACCATAATGGGAAGCGGCTGGCGAAGGAGAAAAGGAAGAATTCCTCTCTACAGCCACCGAACAGTGAGTGTTTTCTCAATAATTTTAATTGCCTTTTGTGTTTGTGAGAGAGACAGAGAGAGAGAGACAGAGACAAAGAGATAGAGAGACAGAGAGAGAAGTGGGGGAGGGAGGGAGAGACTGACAGAGGGAAATAGTTCTAATCAAAGACGGACAGAGAGAGTTCTAGAGGGACAGAGAGAAGGAGAGAGAGAGAGAGAGAGAGAGAGAGAGAGAGAGAGAGAGAGAGAGAGAGAGAGAGGGGGGGGGGAGGGGGGAGAGTCCGCTATGACCCCTACAAAGATCCAAGACATTGTGCGCTTGGTCGTACAAGATAAAACATCACTTTTGTCACATTCTGGAGATGCCCGTTAAAAGAAGGCGTAAATTTTTGTTGGCGGGGGGGGGGGCTTGAGTTTAGTTTTTAGTTGTAGTACAGGTTTTACAAGCGCTGGCAACTGCGTAAGGTCATAAAATAATATGAGTGCCAAGGGGTGGATGTCAACAGAGAAATCCTCACAGGGAATCAGACTTACTCTGCTCACCTCTCCAGCTTCAACTGCACAAAGTCTGCTTCAACTATCAAGGCACCCCGGAAATAGCGGGTCACAAGAGAGTGACAAATATACAAAAGAAGTAGAGGGAAAATAATGATAGAAAGGATGAAGTAAGAAAAAGCAGCAGTTCCCCCTATGTTGTTCCGGCACAGTATGAGCGTGACTTTGATGAATCAGCCCATTTACAATTCTACTGTGCATATGAACTTGTTAATATCCCCCCTTTGGGAATGGAGTAAAGACATTTCAGTCAGTGGCACTGCCCGGAGGGTGGGGGGGGGGGGGGCATACATCTTTGCGACGGGTGGGCCTGAGTTTATTTCCTGTTTGGTCTTCAGATTACAGGAAAACGTTTGACTGGTTGACCTACTTACAAGAAGTGGGAGCTCCGCCAGTGCCTTTTGAACTGTTCAGTGAGGTAAGTCTTGTTCGCTTTTTTCTCTCCTGACTCTGTGCAGCTTTTGTTTGTTTTAGTAAGTGTTGTACAAGGCTCGCAACTGCATAAGGTCATATGAGCAAGAGGGATACATTAAACATTTTCAGTTGGTAGGAATTTTGCCAGAGTGGCAGCCGAAACCTACTCTTATCGATTTTAGACCTCCAAGAGATCTCTAACGTGCACAATAGCTTGAATTGACTGAGTGTAGAAAAGTGTGAGTGAATGGGTTTTTTCCCCAAAGTGTGTGTGAATGGTTGGGGGGGGGGGGGTGATTACTTGGCCAATGTCCACCATCTCGACCTGGCATGTGGGTAGAGTGTGGGAGTTTTTTAGGTTTGGAAAAGTTGGCAGCTATATGAGTTCAATTCCAACTTAAGTAAAAAAAAAAATGTATTGAGTATATCTATCTGTTTGTTTTGTTTTGTCATAGAAAAGTTTTGCGGCGCTCACAAATGCATCGGGTCATATGAGCGCCAAGGGGTGGATGTCAACAGAGAAGTCTTTACAGGGAATCAGACTTACTCTGCTCACCTCTCTAGCTTCAACAGCACAAAGTCTGCTTCGACTATCAAGGCACCCCGGAAATAGCGGGGCACAAGAGTGTGACAAACATACAAAAGAAGTAGGGGAAAATTGACGATGGTAAGGGTGAGGAAAGAAAAAGCAGCAGTTCCCTGTTGCAGTTCAGGCACAGTTAAAAGCATGACATTGATGAATCAGCCCATTTACAATTACAATTCTACTGTGCATGAGAACAAGATGTCCCCCCTTTTGGGAATGGCCCAAAGACAGTGTCTATCTGTGTGCTGGGATGACGTTCCCCACCCAGCCTGTGTTTGTTGGCACTGACTGTCAGGCTGAGAGCAGCCAACCACCTAAATGATGGGCACTGAGTTGACGGGCGGGGCATGAGCCATGTTTGATGCATCGTGGTGAAATCAGGCACTCGTCAAAATAATGAAATCTGAGAAACTTGCATTTTTCGGCCAGTCTGGAATTTTCTTTCGAATTTTTGTTTTTTTTCGCTCAATGCCTTGTGTGTCCATTCAAAAACACTTTTTTGTGTGTTTTTTTTTGGTAAAACATTTATTAAAGGTACAAAAAATGTAAATTTGCTGTATCCAAGGACTCTTGACCCATGGAAATCACCAATCTTTGTCGGCCTTTTTTTCACTAATTTTATTTCTGAAACCAGGCGATCCCACTTCCTTCAGTCACAAATATCTCCACTTCTATTCATGACAAATGGATATTTTTTTATTTTTTTTCATTGAAAGCTAGGCAAATAAATAATTTTTAAGATGGTGCCAATGACTCCACATGCCCAAAAATTGACGAGCGCCTGATTCCACTGCGTCGTGATCCATTTTTTTCAATCTTTATCTTTCCAGGAACAAAAGGAGGGCACACAAGAGACGGAGACTTCTCGAGTGGAGAGCGGACTGAGCCCCGACATCGTAGAGTCGTCTGTCGGCTCCTGTCTGCGAGGGGCCTTCAAATCTCTGCGTATGTTTGATGGTCTATGAAAAAAAAGTTGGGATTAGTCTGTCCCCGAAGTTTCATGCAAAAAAAAATTCTGAAATTCTGCAAACTGAACCCAAAAATGTGAAATTATGAGATTCTGTTAATTTTAACAAAGAATGATTAAGGAAAATAATCAGACATTATGCAAAAAATGATCAAATTTTGCTAAATTATGCTGGGTGCATAAAACCACGGGGACAGATTCATTGTGAGATGGGATACTAGGTAATATTTCGTTGATCTCAACCAAGAAAAATTTGTTGGGGCATGGTGAATACATACACAAATATATGCGCACGCCAATCCCACCTTCTCAATGTCGGGTCCCTGACGGAATTTCAATGTAAAATTGAATGTATACCGGGATATGGAACGTAAGCAGTGATAGGAAAGGGTCGAAATGATTCCGGTAAATAGTTTTTGAAAAAGTCAACTACATAAGAATAATGATAACAATGATTATACAGTATAACACGGATAGATCGAACACAGAAGACTCGAAATCACACGTCCATCATACTGTGCCTGCTGTCCCGGATTTTTTTTCTTCTTTGTCTTTGTAAGATATCCCCCGAACTACGGTTCCCTCTACCTGCCGAGGCCGGTCCCAACGGATTCGAGCTATCCGTGTTTTGCTGTATTATGCGTCTTTGACCACTTACACACCAACAAGCACATAAACAGAATCAATCCCATGTGGGAACCCCATTGCAGACACTGTGACTACCACGAGGAGACCGTTGAACATCTTCTCCTTCACTGCCCAAACCTGGCAGTTCTTCGACACAGGCTCCTACACACACCTACAGACTTACAAAACCTGCTCTACTCTGGCGTTGACCAGATGACAAGGACATGTGGTTACTTGAGGGAGGCATTGCGCTGCCAAGAGGGAAATGCTGGCAGCTAAAGGGATTTGAAAACAACAACAACAACAACATGCATCTTTGACATTCGCTTTTTTCCTTGCAGGTATTGAGCAATCAGCAAAGACAACTTTAGCTAAGGTGGAGACAGACATGCAGAAGCTTGACTCTCTTGTGACAGAGGTCCTTGGGACGGATTCAAAGTTATGGTTCTGCTTCTTCCCTGAAAACCTCTCCATTGACACATTGAGGTGAGCATTCCTGCTGGAGACAACGTTTGGAAATCTATTGCCTCTTTCTACTCAGCCTCCTCCTTCTCTGTCTCCGCCTCCTCTTCTGCCTCCCCTTCTTCCTCTTCTTCTATCTCCTCCCTCCCTGTTTCTCCTCTTTTGCAAAATACTGGAAGTGTTGGAATGGCTATAAATGGATTTTTACGGATTTGATTCTCTTTGTCCCTGTCAAACTAATTTATCTGTATCTATCAAAATTTGATCCTTCCCTTTCCACTGTGGATGTTTCCAGTAGCTTTTCAGACATAATATTATGCAGGGGCCGACGAAATCCTGTACAGAAATGTGTGTTTTACTAGAGGGTATTATTACTCATTCTGAGTTAGCGACAAAACATCTTTTAGCCAGCGAGATTCTCCGCCTCAAGCGTGCTCCGCTGAACCTCGCGATGGTGTTAATGAGATTAGACCAGAGCAGCACACAGCTTTGGTTACTATTAGTTCTAACCACGCCAGCTTCGGCTTGTCTTTAAATCCAACCACGCTATCTTTGGCTTATCTTTAAATCTAACCACTCTCTCTTTGGCTTATCTTTAAATCTAACCACTCTCTCTTTGGCTTATCTTTAAATGCGCATGTTTAACATGCTCTGGATCATATGATGTCCCAATTTCCGGCTAGTGAGCTTTTACACATTTTGCATATGTGGGTGAAAATTTATGTGTCCCTCAATACATGAAGAGAAATAGAGAAAGTGACCACGTGAAGGAAGATAGCGAGGCTGACCGGAGGGGCTTGACCGGTGATCTGATGGAACCTCGCTATATCAGATTAGGGAGCTCCACCTGACCACTTATGTCTTTGCCATGAAGAATTTAAAGTATGTCTTTTAGCAATTGTTGTTTGAATCTGGATTTAATATCCATTCGCATAGTGCATCAAGGCATCAGGAATTTTGGGGGGCAAAAAACCACTATTTTCACCAAAATTCGAATTAGGGAGGTTCCATCAAAACACCATATTATATACATATATATCTCACTCAAGGACATTTTATGAGATAAAATGACAGATCTGTTGTTTCCATCTTGGCCAGAAACTATTGATTACAGTTTTAAAGATGGACAGTTTTGGATTTTTTTAAAATCAATTATCTACTCATGGTAGGCCACATTCTTTAGGCCTATTCATTACTTGGGTACCGGTAACTCATAGGCCCGACTGAAACTGTTCTCTGGCCCAATCTGGCGCGGGGGTCATACTTTGCCCACGCCTGATGTAGACCAACACAACACAATTGTCTGTTGTGACAAAACAGTGCATACTTTGAGGCATGGTTTAAAAATTATTTTTTTTATCTTGACAGGTTCTTGGAAATGAAATCTATTTTTTCATCCAAGGCGCAGCACGTCCATTTCTTGTGTCAGGGTCAAGGTAAGCCGTCGTGTTGACTTCTGCCCGCAAAATTTGTTATCGTCAAATAAACGAGCGCTCATTTCTAGTGTCTGCAAATAAACAAATGAATAAATGAATCATTTGCTGCCTTTGATTGATTGGAACACTACAAAGGTTCATTATTCCTTGCTGGAGACACTTGTTGTTAGTGATGTAATGAACCTACTAGAAAGCTGAGCCTCTAACGCTAATCTTGGCTGCGTGCCTGGATCACACTCCAAATATGTCGTTAGATCATTCCCAATATGGTGGTTTGAAGATATTTTTAGAACCAAGATGATATCGTTATACATTTCTGTGGCATCAGGGTGAAATCGGGCGCTTGTTAAAATATTGCAGTGGAACAAATTGATATTTTTCCACCTGTTTGACAATTTTTATCGATATTTATTTTATTTTGAGCTTAACGGCTTTTATGTCTACTTAAAAACAGATTCCTGCATGGATTTTACTGAAAAACATTGATCAAAGATACACAAAATGTAAACTTGCTGTTTCCAAGGATTTTTCAGCTGTGGAAGTCACCAAACTTTGGTGGCCATTTTCTCGCTAATTTTACCTTCGACACCAGGCACCCCCATATCTTCAATCGCAAATATCTTGACTTCTATTATTAAAGATAGATGGGTATTTTTTTCATCAAAAGCAAGGTAAATGAACAGGCTTTAACATTATAGCAATATATATATATCTCCGTATGCCCAAAAATGGACGAATCCTGATCCCACCGTGCCGTGACACATTTCTGTTGTATTTCTCAGCTTATGACTTCCATCTTGTGAACCACAAGGGGGTCAAGATGTCCTCAGCAGACCTGCTGGAGTGGTCGCCATACCTGCTATATTGTTACACTGTGCTGCTGAGGCAGAAGGTAAGATAAGATATGAGATAAGATATGAGATAAGATATGAGATAAGATATGAGATAAGATATGAGATAAGATATGAGATGAGATATGAGATGAGATATGAGATGAGATATGATATGAGATAAGATATGAGATAAGATATGAGATAAGATAAGATAAATCTTTATGGTGCTCATGCTAGCATATTGGCTTTGTGTTTCACCACACACACACACGCACACACACACACACACACACACACACACAAACAAACACATACGCGGGCACACATGCATACATGCACTATCAATTACCTTGACCCTCAAAGAAAACTGGAAGTTCTTTTTTCTTTCATTTGTTCTCTCTTTTGGCTTGGGTGACTGGCGGGCTTTCTGGTGTGGTTCATTCCTTCTTTTCTATCATCCTGTCGAATATCTATCATCCTTATCTCTCCTCCTTTTTTATGTTTTACTTTCTTAAAAGTGATACCTTTATTCTTCAGCACCTATATGGCCTATTGCGTTGAAAGGTACTGTACAAATTTTATGAAAATTAATGTTCTACTTTTTTACCTTCATTCTTTAACTCTTATGGCCTATTGTGTTGCAAATACTGTAAAACTTTTATGATTTTATGATAACGAAACTAAAATATTGGCAAAATGACCAACTTACTTTGTAAAAAACCCAACTGCTTTTCAGGTGACTGTGCCCAGTGATGTGTCTGCTCTGTGCCCTGGAGCAGAAGCCTTGGTCAAAGATAAGGTAATGTCCTCGTTTAGATTAGATAAGATAAAATAAGATACGATTAGATAAGGTAAAACAATATACGATTAGATAAAACAAGACAAGATAAAATGAGATAAGACAAAATAAGATAAAATGAGATAAGATAGGATAAGATAAGGCTAGATAAGACAAGATAAGATAAAATTAAATAAGACAAGATAAAATAACGTCCAAATGTTCATACTCTTGCTGATGAATATGTGTGGGGTCTTGTGATTTTTTTCATCATATTATTATCCTCTACTGTTTTGTGCTACTGCAAGGTGGGATCTGACGCTCGTAAATTCGTGGATATATCGAGTTATCGGTATAATCTTAAAACTTGTTCATTTGTCTTGCTTTTGATGAATGAACAAATGAACGAATTTTATTCAAAATAGGTGGCTATTTTGTTCATTCATCAAAAGCAAGACAAATGAACAAAATAACCACCTATTTTTAATAGAATTCGAGATATTTGCTGCATGTTTTCTTGCTTTCGGTTTGTCCGTGTGTGGGCAAATTGAGTTATTGGTATAATCTTAAAGCATGTCCGTTTGCCTTGCTTTTGATGAAAAATTACCCATAAATCTTGACTAATAGATGTGTAGATATTTGCCATTGAAGGAGGTGGGGTTTCCTGGGGTCAAAGGTGAAATCAACAAGAAAATAGCCCCCAAAGTTTGGCGACTTCCACTGCTGAAGTGTCGGTACTTGATGAACAAAATAGCCGCCTGTTTTGAATAGAAGTCGAGATATTTCTGTCCCCGTGGTTTTATTTTTATGCACCCCGCATAATTTAGTAAAATTTGATCATTTTTTGCATAATTTCTGATTATTTTGCTTTATCTTTCTTTGTAAAAAAAAATAAACAGAATAGCATAATTTCACATTTTTGGGCTCAGTTTGCATAATTTCAGAATTTTTCTTGTATAAAACAACGGGGACAGATATTTGCTACAATGATGTTTCCTTACTTTTGAGATATTTGCTACTATGTTTCCTTACTTTTGAGATATTTGCTACTATGTTTTCTTACTTTGGCGATATTTGCTACATGTTTTCTTACTTTGGAGATATTTTCTACTATTATGTTTCCTTACTTTGGAGATTTTTGCTACTATTATGTTTCCTTACTTTGGAGATATTTAATTGCTGTATGTTTTCTTACTTTTGAGATAATTGCTACTATGTTTTCTTACTTTAGCGATATTTGCACACGTTTTCTTACTTTTGAGATATTTGCTATATTTGCTACAGTTATGTTTTCTTATTTTGGAGATATCTGCTGCATGTTTTCTTACTTTTGAGATATTTGCTATATTTGCTACAGTTATGTTTTCTTATTTTGGAGATATCTGCTGCATGTTTTCTTACTTTTGAGATATTTGCATATTTGCTACAGTTATGTTTTCTTATTTTGGAGATATCTGCTGTATGTTTTCTTACTTTTTTATTATTTCTTCCCCAGATGTTTGTGCTTGAGCAAGGGATGAAGAGATTGTACAATCTGTACCTGCAGCACTGTGTCTTCATCACCACCAACCGCTCCAGCAAACAGAAGGTGGGGATTAGAAGACAGGATAGAATGAGATAAGATAGATGAGATAGATAAGATAGGATGGATAGATTAGATTAGATTAGTTTAAATTTAATAAGATTAGATAAAATATAAGGTCCAGCAAGCAGAAGGTGTGAAATATAAAATAAGATTAGAAAAGATAAATTTTTGTCTTATACCTAGATAAATCTTTATTGTCCAGATCCAGGCATATTTTTTTGTTGTTTCAACACATACAGGCACACACACACACACAAACACACACACACACACGCACACACACACGCACACACACATATATACATACGCGCACACATGCGTGCACACATGCTCGCGTGTGCTCACACACATGCTCGCGTGTGCTCACACACATGCTCGCGTGTGCTCACACACATGCTCGCGTGTGCTCACAC